GTCAAGTTTTTCTGGTGCTAATGATAAATGATATATATATATATATACACATGTTTGTTGTATTATGCTAATGTCAGGCATAATTTAGAAATCTCCCTCTTGAATTAAGATTATACCTTTGATTTAGTGTTTATAACTTTTATGAGTTAACCTTTAAATCATTTTCACTCTTATATTGTTCACAGTATATATAAATCATATCATTAATGAACATTAATTTATATACTTAGCCTTAATATTTCTCAAGGAATGTGATAATACACTAGCATAGCCACTGTCATTATTATTACTTTTTGGGGGGGTACCAGGGGTGGAACTCAGGGGCACTCAACCACTGAGCCACATCCCCAGCCCTATTTTGTATTTTATTTAGAGACAGAGTTGCTTAGCATTTTCCTTTTGCTGAGGCTGACTTTGAACTCATGATCCTCCTGCCTCAGCCTCCCGAGCCACAGGGATTACAGGGTGCGCCTCCATGCCCAGTTGCCATTGTATTTTTTAATTGAAATTTTTATTGAGATAATTGTTGATTCACAGAAATTTGTAAGAAATAATAATAGATCACTCTGTGTGTGTGTTTGTGCCCATTCTTAGGCAACAAAATTTAGAAATTAAAGTTCTGCTTCTTCCTTTCAATTAATACATATCAGTATGCGTATATATATATGTATACACATATATATATACACACACACACATATATATGCACACACACGTATAAAATTTACATTCACTGTATATGTGTATGCACGTGTGTAAAAGAGAATCACATTATTCTTCCCTCCCTGTTTTATTGATCAAAATAGTAAAAGGAAGAAGCAAAAATTTTAATTCTAAATTTTGTTACTTTTTGGAATAACTGCTTTCTGGGACATGGTAAATATATAGCTATTATTATTCCAAGGGTAGTTTGAAGACTAGCAGTATCATATTTGCAGTTGTGCCACATCACCTCTGTCAATGTTAGACATTTTTCATCACCCTTTAGCTATCCTTACCCCACCCCACCATCCCAGCCCCAACCACTAGGTAAACACAGAGCTACTATTTTTTTTTTAAGAATTTTTTTTAATATTTATTTTTTAGTTTTTGGTGGACACAACATCTTTGTACGTGGTGCTGAGAATCCAACCCGGGCCGCACGCATACCAGGCGAGCGCGCTACCGCTTGAGCCACATCCCCAACCCCCAGAGCTACTATTTGTTTCTGTAAATTTGTCTATTCTGGATGTTTTTTATAAGTGGAATTATTTATTTATTTGCTTATTTATTTAGGTGTTGGGAATTAAAATTAAAGCCTAGATAATGCTAGACAAAAGCGCTACCCCTGAGCTACACACCCCACCTAATACATGGTCTTTGTGACTGGTTTCTTTCACTTACTATGTTGTTTTCATGGTTCATCTATGCTATAGTATGTTTTCCTTCTTAGGACCAAATAATATTCCATTGTATTGATATATCATATTTTTCTATTCATGTCCATTTGTTAAACATTTAGGTTGTTTCCACCTATTATGAATAGTGTTTATTCGAACATTAACTTACATGTTTTTGTGTGAACATATGTTTTTATCTGGTAATTCTACATTTAACTTTTTGAGAAACTGTCAGACTGTTTTCCAGGCAGCTACATTATTTTACATTACAACCATCTGTGTATGAGGGTTCCAGTTTCTCTGTACCTCATCAGTATCTTTTAGTAGCTGTTTTTTTTTTTTCCTCCAGTGTTGAGAGCCACAACCAAGTCAGGATGGCGCCTGGCATTTTGCCAGAAGGAGTGGTTGAGGGGTAGCACCAGTGAGCCATTAGGATGATGATGGTTAAGTTAAGTTGTGTATAATTATTGGGATGATGGCTGATTGCTGTAACTGGATGATGCTGGATTGGGGCAGGCTGTGTATTCAGTTGTGTATGAGGACCTCTGCTGTCCGGCAATAGGGCGGCTCCTGCCACCTCGGATGCCCGCTACTTTTGAGTTATCCCGGAGTTACCGTTGAATTCTTGGGGAGTTCCCGTGGGAATAAAGTTCGTTCCTGCTTGAATCTACAAGTGGCTCGTGACCTCCCGGTTATTTGTGCCCAGCCAGACTGCGGCACTCCAGCAACCCTAGTATCATGTGATATTTCTTCATGGTTTGATTTGCATTTCTCTGATAACTGTGAACATCTTTTCTGAGCCTATTGGCCATTTTTATATATTCTCTGGAAAACCATCTTTTCAAATCCTTTGCCAATTTAAAAAAAAAAATTCAATTATCTTTTTATTACAGATTTGCAAGTTTCAAGTATTTCTAGCTACAAGCTTCTTATCAGATATATGTTTGCAAATATTTTCCCACATTCTTTCTTATGAGTCTCCTAATCTGCTTCTTCACCTGTGTTCCTCTAATCCAGTTTCTTTTTTTTTTGTGGTGCTGGGGATTGAACCCAGGGCCTTGGGCATGCTAGGCAAGCACTTTGCCAGTTGAGCTATTTCCCCACCCCCCTAATCCAGTTTCCATTGCATACCCAGAAAGATCTAGCTAAACAAAATTCTGATGATATTCTTTAACTTGGACTGCTACAGTGATGCTGTGTTTTCAAAACAGTAAAAGCTATTTCATAAACATGGCATAGCCTTATCTTTGGTCACTGCCTAAATCACACTTTGTGAAATAGAAACAACTCCTAGCTATTGTTTTGCTCTTCTCCCTATTTTCTTGTGTACTTTTCATGCCTACTCCTCCCTCCCCTGGCAAAAATTACTTTTCTAGATGTGGCTTAAGAATGATTTTGAGGCATCCTTTCAGACCTTGCACCACCACTCCTTTTCTTTGATTGAAATGACTTATCACTTCTTATTCTCTCATTTTGTATCCATTATCATTTATAGCATTGTTCTTACAAAACTAATTGTATTTGATTACCAGACTTTAACCTCACTAGAGAATAGACATATTTTCATTCATTTTGTTTACTCAGTGTGGTAGTTACCCAATAAATGTTTGTTGGATGAGTAAATACACATTTGTTAAAATATTTGTTGACTTGATTTTCACATATTGTTTTCTTTTTATAGATATGTGGTAGATGATGTTCCCTTCTCAATTCCTGCCACCTCTGAAATTGCTGACCTTAGTAACATCATCAATAAATTGCTGGAGGCCAAAAATGGTGGGTATATATGCTTTTGACTCAGAGAAGTTCAGAGGGTATAGTACCAATAGCTACACTAAGATACATTTTTATTTATTTGACTCAATATGTGAATTTTGTAACATACAGATTTTTCTGTTGCATGATACTTTGAAAGAAAAATACTCAGGAAAAAAAATATTTCTGTTTAATCTGCTTTTTTAAGTCAATATGGAGGTAAGGTGATTTTAATTTAAGAATAAAGATTTTAGCATACTGGTTGTGATACAGAGATACTCAAGGCAGTATGACCATGATATGGAGGGTGAATTATGTAGGCATAAAATAAGTGTCTCAGTGCTTAGGTCCCACTTGCTAGTGAAGCTCAAAGCTGCACATCTCTTTAGCTGCAAAGCAAAACAAAAGTATCTGAATTTGAGTATTTGTTTTATGTTTTATGTTATAACAAAATGCCAGTATAATACCAGTATAATACTGGTATTTGTATGTGTATGTGTTTTCAGAAGTCATACAAATGTACAAAATGCTAGTATAATACTGGTATTTGTATGTGTATGTGTTTTCAGAAGTCATACAAATGTAATGGATATAGGGGATGGGGTTATAGCTCAGCAGTAGAGCGCTTACCTCGCACATGTGTGAGGCACTGGGTTCAATCTTCAGCACCACATACAAATAAATAAAATAAATAAAGTCAAGATATGGTGTCCATCTTAAAAAAAAAATCTGACATACAAGAATATCAAGTAAAAACATTTTAAAGATAAATACTAAGCATATATGAACTAATAAGTTGTCTGTTAAACTACATAATGAACATTAAAATATGGATGAAATAAGATTGCCCATGAGTTGTTAATTGTTGAAGTTAGATGATAAGTCTTTAAGGGCTTATTGTTCTCTACTTTTTTATACATTTGAAATTTTCAGTATGTTTGTTCTATTTTTTTTTAAAGTAAAGGAACATTACATAAAACAGAAAACTGAACAAAAAAAATGAAAAATAAAGTGTTATCTTCTTTTTTTAATATTTTCTTAGTTGTTGACAAACCTTTTATTTATTTATTTATTTATTCGTAATGTGATGCAGTGCCTTACACAAGCCAGGCAAATGCACTACCGCTGTGCCACATAAAGTGTAATCTTTAAAAACAAAATTTGTCAAAGTAGTACCATGTAGAGGCAAGCATGTTTTTATTAAGTTGTTTTCAATGCTGCAAAGCAGCTCTTCTATTAGAGGAATGCCTTACTTGGAAGAATGGGTAGATAAGAGTTATAAACTAATGCCTGATATTTGCCCCTTCTTCATCTTCAAGTAGTCCCATAATTTTTTTGTGAAGTTTGATATGATGTTTTTGAACAGCCTTTTTTTTAAGTTGGGGATATTCAGGGCCTGTAATATATTTATTGCTAGCAAGCTACAGTTCTGATTCAAAGATACTCACGTAGCATTTTTGTTTACTTCCTTGCAGTATTGGGGATTAAACTCAGGAATGCTCTACCAGTGAACTACATTCCTAGCCCTTTATATTTTTTATTTTGAGACAATGTCTTGACAACATGCTGAGGCTGGCCTCAAACTTGTGGTCTTTTTGCCTTGTTCTCCCGAGTCAATGGGGTTACAGGAGTGTGCCATCACACCTGGCCTCTTGTAGCACTTGCAGTTGATCCAGTTCTTTACTTTAATTGTGAATGTATAACAATTATGATTTATAAACTTCTGAACTTACAGACTAAATATTTGTCATTTTTATATATAAAATGACAAAATTTTATATAAATTGAATAACTGTCAATAACTGCTCTTGAGTTGAAGATATAAATGATTCAGATTTAAGATTTTTTAAAACACAGCAAGCCAAATAGTTGATGAGGGAATTTTATTTTAGGAGGATTATAGCTAACAAGTATAGAAAGAATGATAGAATTAGATTACTAGTTCCTGACTCTAAGTGAAACAAAGTATATAAGTGTGATTACCATTAGCTGTTATGGCCATTAAGTAGGTTAATAGCTGACAGAGAACATTATGATGCTTTGGATCCAACTGACATCATCTGAGTCCAAAAGTGGATCATAACACCTTAAAAAGAGACAGAACTAAATGTTATGTGCATTCTCCTATGATGCAGAGGAAATACATGCCTACAAATAATCTTGCCAAAAAAATGAAACTAGAAATCTCACCAAACTTTACGTATGGCTAGTTTACTGGCTACATAGGTAATAGAGTAACACATTAAAGAAAACTTTGAAGATGCAATTTCAATGCCCAATACTAGCAATGATGATAATAATAATAATAAAACAACAACAACAATTACAGCAGCAATAGTAAGAAAAATCTTATACCAACAGAACAAAGTATTATTGTTCTTAAAAATTCACATGGTTTACTGAAATACATTTGTCTGATGTGCTATAAGAAATTATAGAGAAACTCAGGCCACAGTGGGTTAATGTGTATGTTTTTATTTCAGGGATTCTTGTATATCTTTATTAGTAATACTTCAGACCCTAAGAATGCAAATAATTTTATTCTGTATTTTCTTTAGAGTTCCACAAACATGTGGAGTTTGATTTCCTTATCAAGGGCCAGTTTTTGCGAATGCCCTTGTTCAAACACATGGAACTGGAGAACATCTCATCAGTAAGTTCAAGTACTACCTTCTGTATTTTGCTTAAAGCATTATCAGATATTGCAACTCCTTGTAGAAGCAGTCTGAATCTATCTCTAATACCTTCATTTCACTCATTTATTTTTTTTTTGTGGTGCTGAGGATCGAACCCAGGGTTCCGCGCATGGGAGACGAGCGCTGTACTGCTGAGCCACAACCCAAGCATCTATCTCTAATACCCAAGATTGTTTTGATTATTGTTTTCTTCTGCGAAATCATAATTTCTATATATTTGATTTTTAAACCTCTTATAAGAACATGTTATTCAAGAAAATGCAGGTGAATTAACATGTTCTTCATATTTATGAAAGAAATCCCAAGAATGGGAGTAGCAAATATATTTATACTAATACAGCAATACAAAATAATTTTTTACATATAAAAACTATGGCTGTTAGGTTATTATGATTTATTGTGCTTCCTCCCCTTTTAATTTTCAGACTTGGGTTTTTTTTTTGTTTTGTTTTTTAAGGAATTTTTTTTAATAATTTTGTTTGTTTGTTTATTTTTTTTAATATGGTGCTGAGGATTGAACCCAGTGCCTCACACGTGCAAGGCAAGCGCTATACCACTGAGCTACAACCCCAGTCCCTCCTTGATATTGTTTTTATAATTAAATATACAATTTACAATTGATTTTACAATTTTTGTGGTTTGAAAAATTGTGGTAAAATATATAAGTACACAATTTAGTGGCATCAAGTTCATTTACAATATTATGCAACCATCATCACTGCCCATTTCTAGAACTATTACAACATCCTAAATAGGAACTCTACCAATTAAATGGTAAGCTTTTATCTTTTTTTATTTTGAAGTTTTTTTCATGTTTTTCCACCCACATTTAGCATAATTTTTCCAAGGCTATTTTTTTTTCTAATATTTATTTTTTAGTTGTAGTGGACACAATACCTTTATTTCACTTATTTATTTTTATGTGGTGCTGAGGATTGAACCCAGTGTCTTGCACGTGCAAGGAGAGTGCACTACCACTGAGCCACAACCCTGTATATATTCGTAGCACACTGTTTGGTAAAGTTTTTTACTTTTTCAGTGGCTCCAAATTTTCTGGGTTATAAAGGAGACTAACATGAAGGAGATACATTAAGTTGGGGGTTCCTTTATCTACATAGTAATATTTTAAAACCAAATCACCAATTGATTTCTGGTTTCTGGTTTCTCGCTGACTAGGAAGAGGTTGTGGAACTAGAATATGTGGAGAAGTACACTGCACCCCAGCCAGAGCAATGCATGTTCCATGATGACTGGATCAGTTCAATTAAAGGAGCAGAGGAATGGTACTAATAGATGAATATTCTTCTCTTTTCTTACTTTCTTAAGTCTTTTTAAATCCACTATATGAATATTTTTTCCAACTCCCTGTTCTTTGTCAGAGTAAGTTTGTTATATGTGTATTAGTGATCACAGCAGACAGAAAGATTTTTGCCTTCAGTGTATTCAAAAAGAAAACTGGTATTTATTGGTAGGTTTCTTTTCAAGGTGTGACCTTTATTTTTTATACAAGTCAAGTGTCTTAACTTACTGTGTCTTTAATTTACTGGGTTTGAGTATGTTGCTTTTACGACCAGGGATATAATTTATTTCTTAAAAGAAAAGTAACTTTCATAGCCACAGATCTCCTGGCCTACTACCATAAAGATGCAGATCATGAAAATTTAGGGCTACAATTAGTAATTGTTGTATTCTGCTACCTACAACAATTACTAATTGGGCATTATGTAAAATTGTGGATGTGTAACCGACGTGATTCTGCAATCTGCATTTGGGGTAAAATTGGGAGTTCATAACCCACTTCAATCTAATGTATGAAATATGATATGTCAAGAGCTTTGTAATGTTGTGAACAACCAATAAAAAAAATTAAATAAAAAAAAAGAAAATTTAGGGCTACAGTCGGCACAGTTGAGTCAAGTAAGAAAATATAGATGGCTCAGAGTAAATCCGTAATGAACTTACTTGTAGAAGACTACCTCAAGAGTGAATCATAGGAAGATCTTACCTTTAAAAATGAGTCTCTGGAATTATTACACAAAGCCATGTTTTTACTGATTTTACTTTAAATATTTTTTCTTGCTTTGTTACTTTTTGTGGTGTTGGGATTGAATCCTGGGCCTTGTACATGCTAGGCAAATGTTCTACCACTGAGCTACATCTCCAGCCCTGTTTATCTCTTTAATGCTTTTCCCTGGTTAATTACAAAGCACTATTAGGCTTTATAAACTATTTGCATAGTTTCCCTGGGATTTCTAGGATTTTCAATAATAATAAAAGTGAAATATAGGGTTTTCAGTTGCTATATTAGTAGGTCAGGAAAACTCTAAAGTATAATATAACATCTGATATATTTTAAAATCTTCATATTAAAAAAGCATTTAAGGGCTGGGGTTGTTGCTCAGTGGTAGAGCACTTGCCTAGTATGTGTGAGGCACTGGGTTTGATTCTCAGCACCACATGTAAATAAATAAAATAAAGGTCCATTGACAACTAAAATAAAGAAACAAATAAATAATGAATAAATAAAAAGCATTTAAAAATATAATCTCCACCATTTATTTTGTAGTTGCCATAGAAACATAACTGATTTTCAGAGCTTGAAAAAGCCTCATTATTAAGTTCACAGAATTTTTTTCCTCTTTATAGGATCTTGACTGGTTCTTATGATAAGACTTCTCGAATCTGGTCCTTGGAAGGAAAGTCAATAATGTCAATTGTGGGACATACAGACGTTGTAAAAGATGTGGCCTGGGTGAAAAAAGGTAGAACTTTTTGCTGAAACTAAGAGGAATACTAGAAAGGAATTTGGAAATATCCCATTTTCAGAGCAGGTTAAGAATGGAGAGTAGAATGGGTATTAAATGCTTCATGCCATAAGATCTTTCAAAAACACAATGTTTAAAAAAAAAAAAAAACACTGTTCAAGAAGAAAAGGACATTTTTAAAAAAAAAAAAAATCCATAAATTGATGGCAGTGAATCTTTTCTAACATTATATTAGGTAGTATATATTTTTGAGTTTCTTGAGTGTGTTAAATGCATATCTTCTAATTTTAAAGATTCTTTCCTTTTATGCCATGTTAGATTTCGTTATTTTTTTAAATTTATTTTTATCATTATTTTATCTTTTTGCAATACTAAAATTGAAGTTACATTCCCAACACTTTCAATTTTTTTATTTTGAGATAGGATCTCACTAAGTTGCTGAGGCAGGCCTCAAATTTGTGATCCTCAAGCCTTAGTCTCCCAAGTATCTAAGATTATAGGTGTATACATTAACTTTCTTTTAAAAGCCTCCTATATGCATTTATATTTTAAATCCATCAAAAATTTTGAATTTTTCAGTTTAAGAACATGATTATATAAATTTTGTACTAATTTGTTTCTTGTTATTGTGTTCTCTTTTCTTCAGATAGTTTGTCTTGCTTACTACTGAGTGCCTCTATGGATCAGACCATTCTCTTGTGGGAGTGGAATGTAGAGAAAAACAAAGTGAAAGCCCTACACTGTTGCAGAGGTCATGCTGGAAGTGTGGATTCTATAGCTGTTGATAGCTCAGGAACTAAAGTAAGTAACTACTAAGTTATTAGTACTTTGTTAAAGTAGAATTTAAGCATTTTACTAAACTTTTTTTCCTTTATATAAATTCCCCGTAATTCATATACTTTCCTAACAATCAGTGGCTAAAGAATATGATTTGAAACCCTAAGCAAATACTCATGCAATAAGAGATATAAAGATTTCTTCCCTAGTCTGGATAGCGCTGGTTTAGAACCTTAAATAAACTGTAAAATACTTAAGAAGTCAGGTAAACAAGTAATTTCTTTCTTTAATCATAGTAATTAATCAGCTACTCTAAATGCTGTCATCAATTCAAAATACCTAAAACAATAATCTGAGATGTAGCATACATTAATGTTAATGTTAAGAGAGTTTGTTTTACTATTAATGCTGATGTACTCTTTATCATGACAAAATGGTAAATGTTAGTTAAAAAGGACACAAACCTAAGAGCAATACTATATTGACTTATGAGGTTTTAAAAACCCTTTTAAAATTTGAAAGTTTCCTAAGCCACATAAAGTATTGTGGATTTGGGCTGGGGTTGTGGCTCATTGGTAGAGCACTTGCCTAGCATGTGTGAGGCACAGGGTTCAATCCTCAGCACCACATATAAATAAATAAAATATTCATCAACAACTAAAAAAATATTTAAAAAGAAAAAAAGTATTCTAGATTTAAGAGTTTCTTTGCCAGTTAGAATGAGGACATTTGATACATTTAAAGGTAAAGATTTGATTTTTCATTTTGAGCCATACAGAAAGTTTACATGTTATGGACTTGAAATTTAGGTGAATTAATCATACACTGACTCTTGACTATAAAAGGCA